CTACCCGCCAGCTACAGAGGCCTCCCCCCCCCCCACAACTAGGTTTAACAAAAAAAAAAAGAAGAAGAAAAAAATTTTCGCAGCGACGAGCGCCAATGAATCTATCCAGACTCAATAATCTTTGCGATATTCTACCAAAAAGGTAGGGTCTAAACGCTACCTCGCTCGCGCACTTGCCATTTCGGTTACACGGTGCGATTTTTGTGGTGAGGTAAACGTGTTTGTAAGGGTGGTGTCTTTATTCTTCTTAGACAACAAGAAGAAGCTTTTATTTTCGTACCTCTAGTTCACGCAACCTGTCCTTCATGCTCGCCATTTCTGCAGTCTCAGTTTTTCTGGTGGCTTGTCCGAGTTCAACAGTTCGTACTCTCTGTGCGAAGTTCAGACTGCACATAGTTTCGCTCACGTTCTTTTCCACTGGAGCCACTTGCACCACCATAAGAGTCTTAGAATCACCTCCTGCAATAAGTAGTTAAATTAGAAAAGACTCTTGCGTCAATGAGTTAAGTCAGTTAAGCTCAAGAGGGGGATAGCTCACAGCATTTTCGATGACTTGGTAGCCTATCTAAAGATCTTCCATTTTCTGTTTATCACTCATTTTCGCGCTTCGCGCTGCCCATATTAGGGACCTTACGAAACTACGACGGCGACGGCGACGGCAACGTCAAAAAAGCAACAGATTTAAGAAGCAAAAAACATCACGCTTTTTTGTAAATTTCTTTGCCGTCTCTGTACAACTGGGACGTGAAATGACCAAATTTTAAGTTTACTTGAGAACGGGAACTGCAAGGCAATAAATTCTACCATCTCTGTCTGAACTTGGGCGCGATCCCCTCTCTTCAGCTCCAACCTAAATTCCCTTCTTTTAAGTAACAGGGGGACTTGAGATAATCGCAAAATAGTGTGCAAGGATGAGAAGTGTATTTTTCAGCGACATCTTAATGGACGTCGCCGTTGTCGGATCTAAGGTCCCCATTCCTTATTCCGGATCCTCTTTATTACCAACTAATTACCTTATACATCCTAGTTCTATTTTTAGTTTTCTCGCATATTTTTTTAGCACATTTAACTGACTCACCTAAGGATTCCTGCAGTAGGTAGGTAAGCTTGGAGTTCCTATACGGCACGTGAGAGTTCTTGTTTTTCAAAGAGTGAATTACGTCGCCCAAAGAGGAAAGAGACTTGTTTATGTTTTGAGCCTCTTTCATTCGGGCACCTTCAGATCCACTCTTGGACACTCGCTCACTGCCTGCTAAATCTACGAGATTTAACTTCCCTAGAGAAAAAAATAATTGATATTATGTTTTAATCGTCCGTTTTCCTCAAAAGCGACAAGTCTCAACCCTTTAAGCCCTAAGATCAAAATTTGAATTCTCATTTGTTGCCCCTATTCATTTCCCTACAGAAGCAGTGTGGATAAAATATCAAGCAAATTCATCTTCTGTGATCATGTCCGTAATTCTCATGACCACTCTGTTTTACAAAGCGTTGATATTACAAGGAGAAATTTTCTGCTGATCACTCTTAGGGCTTAAAGGGTTAAAACTTGAATTACACGAAATCAGCGGGGAAGGTTTGATGGCATCGTTTACGAAGCATGAAGATCTAAAACGGAAGAAACAGCTAATATCTTTAATATTTAGACTCGTCGATTTTCGTCCTTCAACAGAGGAATAATATCTCTAGGGGTGTTTTAGATGAGTGAAAGGACGGAGAACGTGAATAAAAGGAAGGAAGGAAAGGCCCGATAAAGTGCAGATTACAAGAGAAAGCACTGATATATCACGTGAAATTCTCTTTTATGTCACATGTAAGGAAGTCTAAAGCTAGTAAAGTTGAAGCAAAGCGCTTTTTCGCGGGCATATCTGCATTCGTTCAGATTTTCGCCGGTCTGTCCAGCTGTTGCACACCGTTTGGCTAATAACAAGACCACACAAATCACAGAATATGTGGCAAAGGGAGACTTTAAGTAGTCAAACTGGTTATTACCTGTTGTTCTATGTCCAGTTGTCCTATTCACGCCGATAACTGTCACACATAATAGCGCATGCGAGCGGGATGAGTGCTCGTTCATGTCGGTGATGGCCGTGGCTCTGTTGGTCTTTCCCGTGGCGAATACCTGTCAATCAATCAATCGGTCAATCAGTCGATCAATTAGTCGATCAATCATTCAATCAGTCAATGAATCAATCAATCGATCGTATAATCAACACCAAGAAATTCCCTTGCGATTCCGTAAATAGAAATCCTAGATTATGGATATTGTGTAAACGAAGGACAGCAGTGGGCAATATCCGAAAGAGACACCCAATCAGATGAAAGTTACTGAGCAGTTTCTTGCAGTAATGTGTATTAAGGGGTAAATTTCATGTTTGTGTATAAATGTGGTCACTAAAAGGGGGCAACTGAGAATTTCTCTCTGCACAGGGTAATGGAAGTAGTTAAAATGTGGAGTTTGAGTAAAATCTGTCCGTAATACCGGGTTTCACATCGCCTACAATTCCTGGACATCATCAATTATTTATAATCACCGAAGCGGCAAAATTGAATGCAAACGCCTTTTTTGAATAGCCCAGCCTTTCTGATTTTCTGAAGTTGCAATCTAAGCTTTTATACACGGCTTTTTGGAGAGCAATGAGGTATCTACACTTTTAGCCTAAAATGAAGGAACTGCAGGAGGTATAAGGACTATTTCTTCAAGCTCGAAAATCCGGAAAAATTGGTCTTTTTCAGTAACGGCAAAGACTACTCTTAACACTTTTAAACTTAATAAAATTATTTTTTCTCACCTCATTCAGTTCATCAACATCGCCGACTTGAATTTCTGTAAGGCCTGGAACAAAAAGACCGTCCCGACCTTGTTTTACTTCCAGTTTAATGGAAGGATCGTGGCCAAGTAGGTCACGGATCATCTCATTGTATATCTCAATGACAGAGACGTTGATACTAAAGCTCCAATCAACGCCTCTGTCACGAGTTTCTTCAAACAGGAGCTTTAATGCACGCTGGTTAATTCCCGGATTCGACGAAGGCCCCTGTAAAATAAAAGACGAGTTAAAGGAGCTGTATCACGAAATATATCAAAATTGAAAGAGCGGGAGCCGCCACTAATTAATGTGAGACGCAAAAATAACTGCTCAGAACATGAAAAAAATGTATCAAAACAAAGCAAATACAAAACGAGGAATTTTTCTCACAACCTTGTTCACGCTATCAACTTAGCCTTACCTCCATTGTGAACGTTTTTCCACTTCCGGTCTGTCCATAAGCAAATATACACACGTTATAACCATCGATACAAGAGACCACAAGGGATTTAACCTCCTCAAAAACCTACCAAAAGACAAATAAGTAATGGAAGCTTCAACGGCCGTACAACTTTGAAACTAAGTTGACATTATTTGCCTGATTCGCCTGGTAAAAATCCTTGTACAGTCGCCTCCCTTTATTGCGGACACTGTAGGGACCTCAAGTTAGTGGGTGGAGAAGGGAACGCTAGTCCTGACTTTTAATAAGGACAAGTTATCTCCCTCTTCTTTCGGGGAACTTTATTTTTGCAGGACAAGGAAATGTTGGTTTAGAGTGCAGCACTCTCTCTATAGGTGTTCATTATTCAGGTATCTAGGCTGAGAGTCAAATTGTATTACTCCCCACATTCCAGATTATAATTGGGAACTTAAGCAAAGACGTTTATGAGCGACGAAAGTCATCAGGCGGAGAGGCCTTTTCCCTTTTAACAAGCCTGAACACTGCGCAAGAATGCAAAAACTACACTTCCTATTGACGTGCATCACTCAACAACGTCTGCTCAAACTCTCTAAGAGCTGCTTTCAAATTAAACAAACTTTGTTACCTGTTCCTGGGTGGACTGTGGCTTGAACACCTTGTCCATTTCAAACTGCTTTATCGCACCTTTTGAAAACACATTCAAAAGGGCATCGTCTTCGTCGTCGAAAGTTATAACGTTCTCTGCATTTCTTCCTCCACCGTCCTCCTTGATGACTGGCCG